AGTTGAAAATGACCTTTTTTGTATTCTTCTCTGCTTTCACTCATTTTTGAAAGGAATTTAATACTCTATAGAGTGTTGTATTCATAAAATGCTAGACTACAAGTACCAATTTACAGAGTGTAATATTATTGTGTTTTGGGGAAGTTATATATATTTTTTCACCTGTGTAATACTTTTGTCATATACTGTACTTGCATGAAATAATTAATACCTTGAGTGCAAACTGAGTATCAATTGGGTCATGAATGACTAAGACTCACCAGAATAGACTAGAATATAAAGGAGCTTGAAATTCTGAAGCTTCTTGATTTCAACAGCCTTTCTTAGTGTAAGAAGGATAATGAGTATGTTAAAGAACAATGTGCCTCCCTAAGACACTGCCAGCCCTTTATATATGTTTATTGTTAAATGCAGGAAAGTCTGGTAAGCTTCACATACTAGTTCTTCTAGTGTGCAAGCAGCAAGAGATAGCTGTGACAAATAGAACTATACTTACAAATCATCTGAGATTAATGAATGGCATCCAGTAGGTTGTGAAACATTGTACAATTCTGTTAATAGGTATTTGTGGCTTATAACAGACCACTAATAAGCAAATGTTTGTATCAAGCCTACTGTAACTTGAGAGTGTACGAGCGTACCAGCCCGGAACAGGTTACAATGGTAGCAAGTATCAAAATTGTTACCAATAGTTTTCTATTCAATTCATACAATGCATATGTCCAGAGGATAGAAATTACTAGATATGACTTTATATCATGATACACTTTAGCAGATATATGAAGAACTGACCTCCTACAATGATCTGTACAAGAATAGACAGGATCTGATAGTATTTTTGAAATGTGTTGCAGCTATGGAATATACTGGCTGAGCTAAAAACCTTCAATAGAATGCTATCAAAAGAAACATACTCCTAAAACCAATTTAAAAAGTCAGAAAATCGGATTATGCCTTCAAACAAGTATAAGAGCACAAGTACTGTAGAAGACCAAGGTCCAAATGTCTGGAATATAATAGGCACGCTCCCAATAATAGATACATATTGATTAGTGAAAAAGAAGATTGAAGCAACCTTTCTTTTCCTTTTGTGTCAAAAAAACCGAATTTCATCATCCAAAGTTAACAGATAGTCGTAATACAAAAGCACTGCAAAGACGAAAAATTGACAGGCTCAACCAGAAGATGAGTATGAATATGAGGCTTACTGAAGGACACCAAGTTTATAAAGTAATTCATGTTTCTAACATTGTTGCAAGTTAACAAGCAAGATGAGCTCAGGGCTACTTCTTACAACACGTACATCTGGTAGAGAATGTCCTCTGGACTCTCTGAAAATATTTCCAGTGTTGCTTGAGAAGGTTCAGCAATCTGCTCCATAGAGTTTAGTACCAGATGATTTGTGGATGATAGTGAAGAGCCGTGACTGGGACTCCTTTGGTATTTATAAGTTAGGTCAAAAGTTGACTTGATACAATTTGCATCTTGTTTGCTGTTCGTTGCGTCCTAATTCTGATCTGACTCATGATTGAGAGATAGAAATATATCCAATGGGAGCCAACCATCATTTGACAAGCCTAAACCTTTGAAGCTATAACGCTGAAAGGTGAACAAAGTTACAATATCACACACCACTATCTTTCCAGGGTTCTGGTGTTAGATGCTTGATGTTGCATTTTGACTCTCCAAATAATTACCATAAAGTCGAAAAGATCTTACTGCTTCCGATGAGGCAAAGCCAGAGTGTCTTTGATGGCTGTTAACAATCCAACAAGACAGTCCACTGTCCAAAGCACCAGACCGTTTCGGACACAGTCCAGGAAGTCAGTGTTCTCAACATTGATAAGTAAGTAGCCGTGATGTCTAGAACCATTTACTGTAACACAACGAATTATTGGCTGGGGATGGTCTTAACATCTTCTGCAAACAGCTGATTTTGATTCGGAAGAAAGGTAAACAGATCAGGATTAAAATATTGCTGACAAATACAATCACGTGATATATTTCTTTTTTGGGTCGTCAAACGGTCCAGTCGTCACTCCGTCGTTGCCTACTCCTGCTACAGTGTTGTCGACCTGAATACTGTACTAGCACCCTTTTTGCACACGTTTTCTAGTTATCTTGAGCAAAATGGCTGATGCGGGTGAAAACTGTCTGCTTAGTTGTTTGCGTTGACGTTTGACTGACACTTTCAATGAGCATTCAGGATTTTTCAAGGGCACGTCAGCGGACCAGGACAGCCGCTTTTCCGACAAGGAAATGAAGCTTTTAAAGACCCTTAAATTTCCACCTGAGTTTAGCGAAAAGGTACTAATTTACTTCGCTGTATATCTGCGCCAGAGTAACTGAGTCGTGCTTTCCCTTAGGTGGACATGCGCAAGGTTAACTTACAAGTGATGCGTCCATGGATTGCAAATAAAGTGACCGAGCTAGTCGGACTCGAAGATGAAGTTGTCGTTGAGTATGCTATGGGACTTCTTGAAGATCCATCCAAGCCTGTACGCTGTATCTAATCTTCACTTTGCGGAATGTTCTGACGATGACACGACTTACGTCAGTTGCCTGATCCGAGGAAAATGCAAATAAACCTGACTGGTTTCCTGACTTCCAAAACACCAGAGTTCATGATTGCCCTATGGAAACTTCTGCTTGAAGCTCAGTCTTCTCCTGGAGGTATTCCGAAAACATTCGTCGAGGAAAAGAAAGAAGAGATGCGCCTTGCTCGTGAAAAGGATACACGTGCTTTAAACGAAGTAGATCGCAGGGCACGCCTAGACGAAATAAGGGACCGGGAAAGGGCCGAACGAAGTGGTGGCAGAGGACGTGGAAGGGGCCGCGGTGGAAGAGGGAGAGGTGGTGGTTATGACGAAGGCAGATCGGGCAGAGGCCGCGACAGTGGCTGGGGGACCCGTGGAGGGGTAAGAATTTTCATGTTATGCGGACAACGAACCTTAGTGAACCTTGATTTACCTATGCCTTAGCGCCCTCGTTATCGTTCTGGCTCGAGATCTCGTTCTCCGGGCCGCCGCCGTTCATCTACACCTGTGTCTCGACGACCAGGTCGCTCTCCTACACCAGCATCCCGTGGCAGATCACCGTCTCGCACCCCGCCGTTTAGAGGTGCTCGGAAAGATTCGCGTTCTCGATCTTATTCCCCTCCGAGAAGACGAGTATCAAGATCACCATCCTATAGCCCTCCACCGCGCAGGCGCCGCCCTCGTTCACCATCTTACTCTCCACCTCCCCGTCGCCGTCTCACTCCACGCAGGGGTTCGCCATTGCGGCGTGACTTAAGGGATAGCCGTAGCCCGCCTCGTCGCCGTGCTCGCGATAGTCGTTCTCCACCGAGACGAGTCGCAAGAGATAGCCGCAGTCCTCCTCCCCGTCGCAGACGGTTGTCACCCTCTGATCGGTCACGCTCTAGTGGGCGTAACTTTGACAGATCTCCGCCTACAAATCTTAGGCGTGATAGACGTCGAGGTGGACGTAGCCCTTCAGGCTACGGTAGAAGCCGCTCGCGTAGTCCACCTATGAGAAGACGTGGTGGGAGTCGCACGCATTCACGTTCAAAAACTCCGCGGCGAGCAGTTGAACCTCGCAATGGTGAAAGGAAACGGCATAGGTCTGCCAACAGTGGAGGATCGAGCATTGAGCGACGCCGTCGTTCACGAAGCTCGTCACCAGACAGAAGAAGAGACATGGACGTTGACGAACCCCCACAAGGCGAACTGAAAATCAAGGGGCAGGCCGAGATAGAAAAGAATAAGGTGAACTGATATATCACCCGATCTTTCAATATTTGGTTGGTGACGTGGCTTGCAGGTTATGGATGATAAAATTGATTTGAAGAGGCGAGAGAATGAGCTTAAGGAAAAGGCTCTACGGAATAAGGTTGTCAGGTCGAGAAAAGCGAGCGTGCCGGGACAGTGAATAACATTGCGATGAGCCCCATAATCTATGACGTCTGACACATATGCCTATATTGACTCCTTGAACATTTCCCTTTATTTTCCGAACTTTCCGCAGGTTGTCGAAACCCGTCGAAAGGAAAAAGAAAAGAGAAATCAGACGGCTCTTGGTATTTAATTCCTTCTTGCCATGTACTATTAGTAAGGCTGTCTGGCTGAAAATTCCCGTTTCTGCGATGCTAGGATACGTGTTTTATCTCGCTTTATATATTTTATCTAACCGGGACATGGAGTAAGGATTGGCACGTATTTCCGAGCAAAAACTTCGGGTGGAGCTATCGTGTTCCCATGCACATATCAACTGTCAAACTCTCTACTGATGAATGTTGAGTTCATACACAGGCTAAATTACTCTACGGGAAAGACGCAGACAGTGTCTAAATATAGCACTCTCCGCTGAACGGCAAATTCACGGACTTTACTCTGGCTCTTCCTCGCTGGCGCAGAACACGTTCCGGAATTTCGGATAATAACGAGCTCTATGCCGTGGTCCAACGCCGTGGCATGAAGTCCCGTGGCCTGCTCTGCATCGCTGTCTCTTTCGTAGAGAAAGCCTGAATGGCTGCCTATTTCCATCTCCCCTAGTGTTTCGGGTCCGGACTTCACAAGTTCCCCCGCACATGCGCCTAATGTTCTAGTTCTCGTGCCTTATGACAAGAGTATACAATTGCATCTAGACTGATGACTGAAGATCCGATCTAAATAAGGTCTGAACAAGCAGTATAAAACGCTGAACAGCAAGTGGTATTATATGCCAAGACCAACTAATCCAAGGTGTACTCAAAATGCTGACTACTTTTGCGGTACTCGCTTCTGCTTTTGCGTCGGCGGTGGCGCATGCCACGTTCCAAGAGATGTGGGTCAACAATGTTGACCAGGGCTCGTGGTGTGTTCGGCTGCCTCAGTCGAACTCTCCTGTTACGGACGTCAGCAGTACAGTATGTCATCTCCCTCTATTATATCTGTCTCGCTATCCAACTGAGACTCTGTGTAGGATATTGCTTGCAACGTCAACCCTCATCCGGCTTCTGGTCTCTGTAGCGTGAATCGTACGTATGCATCTATTGATTATTAATAATCTGTAATGTTGACTTGTTATCTAGCCGGTGATTCTGTCACCGTTGAGATGCACCAGCAACCCAACGACCGGTCTTGCGCCAACGAGGCGATCGGTGGTGACCACTGGGGCCCCGTCCAAGTTTACATGGCTAAGGTCGATGATGCAGCAAGCGCCGATGGTGCATCAGCTAGCTGGTTTAAGATCTCTGAAATGGGCTTACCGTCTAACAACCCCGAATATTGGGCGACTGAGGTCCTTAACGACAACTGCGGTCACTACACCTTCACTGTTCCTAGCATCGCACCTGGTCAATATCTCCTTCGGGCTGAAGTTATTGGTAAGTCTCTCGATGTATTTTCCCGTGTTTGTAGTGCTTATAATTCTGCAAGCTCTTCACGTCGCTTCAAGCGTTGGCGGCGCTCAGTTCTACATGTCTTGCTTCCAACTCAATGTTGGTGGATCCGGTTCGGCCAACCCACCGACCGTGAAAATTCCTGGAGCTTACAGCCCCCAAGACCCTGTATGTACATCTTTTTCCGAAAGTTAAAACAAGTTTAAGATTATGATTCACCGTCTATGTAGGGTATCCTCATCGACATCTACACTTCTCCTAAGGCTTACACGAGTACGTCTCACTCATTTTATTCACAAATTTCAAGGCATCTTAGCGGTTATCCATAGTCCCTGGTCCTACCCCGTACGGCACGACCTCTCCGACCGTCGCCACCACTGCATGGCCCACCGCCGCAACCTGGAACACTGCTGGTCAGCCTGCAACCGTCCCGACGACAGCACCCCCCGGCGCAGCCTCTGCACCGACAGTATCAAGTCCTGCAGCTCCGACCACGAGTAACCCAGGCACAACTACACAGCCGGCTACGAGCTCCAGTGCAGCAACTCCGACCTCCACTGCTGCCGGCACCGTTCAGCAGTATGGTCAGTGTGGTGGTATTGGCTGGACTGGCGCTACTGCATGCGTTGCAGGTACGACCTGCAATGTCATTAACCCTGTAAGTCCTTTCCGGATAGCTACTTACTCCAAGTCAACTGAATACGTCCTACTAGTACTACTCTCAATGTCTGTGATTCTACTTGGACGAAGTTTATCGGCGTTCAAAGTGAGGGGTAATTTCTGCACAGCAAATAAAATACGTTTCATAACTGGGCAGTAAATTTCGAAATATTGTTATCTAGGGATTATTTTTATCATGTCTTAGCCTGGCTGGTTATCATGAAATACAATTGAGTGTTCGTATTGCGTCAAAATCCCTTTCAACAGGGAGCAATCACCGGGTCTATGTAATATTATGGAATTGCTTCGCAAATAACAACTTACAAACATGCTAATACTTATATAGAATAAGAAGAATGTACTATATAGTATGTTACATATATTTATAGTAATTTATTACTATTTTTGAAAGGTATAACTGTATACACACATATACAGTTATAATTAGCAAGTCAATTACAGTTACAATCTGTAAATTACAGACTGTAATTTTCAGTCTGTATACTGTTTATACTTACAGAGTATACTGTATACAGTACAGTCTAAAAGTATAATTATGTCATACTTTCAATTACTAGCCTATCCTTCTTCTCTCATCTAGGTCTCTTCTTAGGCTTCTCATGCCTGTCAATCTGCTCCCATTCATCTGTATGTTCTTTCTTCTTATCCTTCTCTAAAAACTTAGTCTTCTCCTCCTTACTCAGTATCCACTTACTCTTCAGACTTTTTGTACTCACTTGTATATATGTATATTCATACTAGACAAGTACTTATAATATTAATTCTACATACTTTCATACTAATTTGAACTTGAAGGAATTAATAATATGAGATTAAGGAAAAGTGATCAGTTTATTTTAACAGTACAAGTAACTATAATGAATGAATTACTCAAAGTCCTACTAATCAATAATCATATTAGACATTTCCTGCCACCTAGGATAGGTTGCACGGCGAGAACTACTAAGACGAGTCTTGGATCGAACAGTACTCATCATCCAACAATCTGATCCACTCCCTTCATGAAAATGCATGATCCCCCCAAAATAACAATCTTGTCCAAGATAATCAATGAGAAAGATGCCAGTATCTTGTATCCTCTCAAACCCGCCTGTCTTGATTGCCTCAACACGCAATCTGTATGCAGCTATGGCACTTTGGCTCTTGCTATCAAATTTCCAGTACTCAGTGTCAACTGGTACATTGAGTGCATCACAGATGCCTGTAAGAACATCTTCAACTGTGACATATTCGTGGGACCTTGGGCGTATGTCTGCTAGCAACTTTATACGATTGCGGATTTCTGTACAAACACGCATTTGTGTCTGGCGTGGTTCGACAGCAGACTGTTGTAGTTCCTTCTCAGTGAGCAGTACCATTCTCTGGAAATCTGAAAATCTGAATCCCAAAGAATGTGGCAGCCGAAGGTCAACCTTGGCCAACTTGTCAGAACCCCATGTAAGGAGACAGTTGCTGGAAATTGAGACTAAACATCAGACATAGGGTATGTATTAATGCAAATTGAATTCTGATGTCCTAAAACTTTGAACCTTACCAGTATTAATGTCAATAGTATTTGTACGCGTCACTGAGCAGTACAAAATGTCTGTTGCGCCTTCCATAGCAATTCGATTTCGCGGAGGTGATATCCAACATTCTTCACAGATCGTCCATGCGCTTTGTAGGAAAGGTGACCAATTGCTATATGCACCAGGACGGGAAGGCAACTTGCGCTCTGTGATGGCGCGCATCACGAGCCCATCATTCTTCAAATGAGCATATGGCAGTTCGCGTGTAAGTATTTCCTAGCAAGAAACAACCTGTCCGTTATTCTCAAGCGGAGAAAAATGCTTACGGACAGCTTACATAGACAGTCATTCCGAAGGCCCAGACATCCGTTTCCTTTGTGTGATGACTGTCGTTCGAAAAATCAAGGAGTTCATACGCCATCCATCTCAAGGAACCTTTTATTCCTCCCGAACTCGTGGCGGCCAGAGTGAGAGAAGCAGATAGCATCCTTGCCATACCAAAATCACAGATGAGCGGTTCTCCGTGATTGCTGATCAATACATTGTCCTGAGAAAGTCATTAGTGATCGTTGAAATTGCTATGGGGATACAAAGAACTCACTGCTTTGAGGTCAGAGTGAACGACATCCTGCCTATGCAAGTAGTTTACCCCACTAGCAATCTTGACTATCTGTTCCAATTTTATTAAATTTATTAAATTGGAAAGCCTGCCAGAAGGTGAAATGAGATCACCAAGGGTTCGACATCACACTCTGCGTGGTCACGCAAGTACTCCCGCAGTGTCCCATTCTCCATCCAGTCCGAAATTACAAGTGGATAAGCACCCTCCAATGCAAATCCTCGAAGTGGTAAGATATTGGGGTGACCGAGCTTTGACCATACATACAGCTCTTTTGCGAGAACCTAAGGTCAAGCACAAAGATGCATTGAGTATAAATACAATTTATACAAGATCAATTGCACCGGCCTGTACCTTATCGTACTCCCGTTCCTTCTGAACATGAACACGCATTCTCTTGACAGCAACCTTCACTTTTCCGGCAGTACCTGTCGTACCGGAGGAGTATCCATGGCGTTGTATCGCAACAACGCCGACAAATACATCGCAATATCCACCGTTTGCCCGCATGGCTGTAGAATCGTACTGGACGCGACCCGTAAGATCAAGGTCGGTAAGTCTTGCCAATGTCCCCTGGAGTGCGTTGCCAGAATTATACTGTGTGCTCCGGATTGTATCAGCGACTTTTCTGTCCCTAAGGTACATCTTGAATATGTTAAAGCGGGTCGAAAGATGGCGTACGTATTTGAGTCACTGTTGACTGCCTGCTGGAACCATCAATGATGATCGCACTGCCTCTCACGTGAGCATGTATTCAATAATCTATCTGGCTGGCAGTGGCTGCCCTGCTGCTTGTCATATATTAATATCATTCTTAATCACACTCACAGACTGTGTGATGTAACTGCATGTATGGACCCAATTTACCTTTTTTTTTCCACTTTAACTGTCATGCTAACTCTTCTTATTATTTTTAAGAACATTTGGGCCAACATTTATTCATTTTGTGAAAATTCAGATGTCTGCAGCCGCTTTCTACATTCGCTATGCTAAGGAAGATGACATTGTAAAGTATACTGTAAAGTCTACAAAATCCACGTTTGTGTCTTACCTCTTTTTCTCAGGATACACTACTAGGACTTATCAAAGAGCTTGTGCGACTGTCATCTCCACTTTTATGTGGTTGCCTAACGCAAGAGTTGATAGGCTACATTCGAAAAAGCAGAAGAGTCTGCAAAGGCTACTCCTGAATTAGTGAGTACTAATCCTCAGAAACACCATCCATTTAATCAACCAGCCAGTCAAAGTTCTAACGTATTAATATTATATTATTTTCTGCCAGTTAAAGCAAACCCTCTTCACAACGCCCTACGCACACGCACTTCTCGCCATCTCGCCCTCGGGACAAGCAGTCGCGTACGCAACGTACTCATTCACGTTCTCGACCTGGGCTGGGAAACCAGTTATACATGTTAGTAATGTTCTTATTTCTTATTTCTTATTTCTTATTTCTTATTTCTTATTTCTTATTTCTTAGTGAACTATTTTTTCCCCCTGATTGCTTGCTATTGTAAAGCTCGGTGACTTGTACGTGAGAGGAATACCGATCAAACGGACTTGGGAAGGCTTTGTTTGGAGAGCTTGCAAGGATCGCGCAGGAAAAGGTTTGTCGTTGCATCGCGTGAGTCTTAGACCTGGGAACCCACTAACATCTGTCACTGCGCAGAATCGTGCTCGCATGGACTGGATAGCATTGCAAGTAAGCAAGTCTTCAGTACATTGGGATGGACACTTATTGGGATGTGTCAGTGGAACACAGTTGCTATTAAATTCTACCAAAAAGGAATTGGCGCACAGGTATTGAAGGATATGATCTGCTTGAAAGTGGACGAAGAGGGAACTGAGAAGCTGGCTAAGTCTGAGCCGAAACAATATGGTGCATTTTTGGTCTATATTTGTGGTTGCATGAAATGGTGTATGGAATTAGGTGGTTATTTTGTACGGTCTAGGCAGTGTGAAGATTCGGAAATGAGAGCGTAAGTTGAGAATGGGGTTGACTACGATATGAGGGTTCCTTTGGCATGGATCTGGTCCTGCAACAGAGCGCGAACGCGTGCTCCAAGACATAACGAAGCGTTGCATCGGTCCGGAGGTTCAAAAGCCTCGGCGCCCACCAAAGAAGTATAAGACGACTCCCAGGTACCAAAGTGTACTAGACGTCGTCCTCGGATATGAATTCGTCGTGTATCTCCTGTTGTAGAAGTGAATACAAGGCCGAGTCAAGAAAGAACGCAGAATACGTACCGCTGCATAATTCGATAATCACACAAGAGAAAGTCTATCCTTCTTCTCCCATTGACGTGTCTCCTCGGGCTTCTCATGCCTATCAATCTGTTGCCATTTATCCGCTCGTTCCCTCTCGATCCTCTTAACGATATTCTCTTCTTTCCTCCTTCTATCCTTCTGCAACAGCTTCGCCTTCTCCTCCTTACTCGGCGTCCACTTGCTCTTTAATATTCTCCTCACAGCTTCCGGACTAATACGAAATCGCTCGGCGAGGACGGGCGTTGAGAACGTTTTTGGGTCGTGTTGGTGGAGTGCGCGTACTCCTTCCATTGCTTCGCGAGAAAGTTTTCGTGGAGGGTTCCAACCCTCTGGGAAACGCTTCTTCATTAGTTCGCGGTGTTTGAGAAACTCGGCTGGTGTTTGTCTGCTTGTGTACTTGTCTTCGGATGTGCTAGCAGCAGACTCGTCCCTTTCTCCAGAACTTTTTGGTATGGGCAGTTTATATCGATATAGTTTGTCGGAAATGTTTCTGGCTTGCGAAGCTCCTGAAGACATACTTCGTGTTAACGAGATGTTCATGTCTGCAAGGGAAAGACGTAGAAAAGACATCGTGGAGGGCGGAGACTCAGAGCAAGTTGAATACTGCCGCGGCAATGGAAGGAAACAAACTGAGCGTGGGACAAGTCCGCATCGCAGTCGCAGCGTCAGTCGGCAACCGACACTAATCTTGCCTCTCAACCGCCTTCACTCTCTTCTCTCTTCCAATTCTCCCAACTCCCTCCTCTTCTGCCGAACGCCATGGCCGACGTGTCAGACCCGCAGATCGACGAAGGCAAGCTCACACAGTATCCCCTTAATTTACCCCTTTTTACTTAAATAAAAACAAATACACACAGCGTACATGGACGTTCGCTCGGACAAGAGCGATACGAACTGGTGTCTTCTCGACTACGAGGTGATTCCTTCTTCCCCGAATTCAACGGCGAGAATCAATCCTTAATGTCTCTATTTAAAAATTTAATTATACTACATACTATCACTATATGTGATATGGGTCTATTCAGTCTGACCGCTCGGACAAGCTGGTTCTTACGGCTTCGGGTTCTGGAGGTCTTGCCGAGTTGAAGGAGAAGCTGGACGATTCGAAGGCTTCGTACGCTTACGTCCGTGTTGCGTATTCCAATGACAAGGAGGTCAGGGCATATTCTCTAATCTAACTATGCATTCCTTCCTTCGGTTGTTGTCTGCTTACCTTCTTACCCTAATTTATGAATGCATTGCATTTACAGTCGCAGCGCGAGAAATTCATCTTTGTCAAATGGATCGGCAAGAGCTGCAAGGTCATGCGAAAAGCCAAAGTAAGTCCACTCATACATTAATTCATACAAACATACCACATCCTCTCCCTTCTCCTTCTCTCCTCCCTTCTCTTCCATCTTCTCTTCCTCCTTCTCCCCCTCCTTCTCTTTCTTTGCCTTCTGCGCCACCTTCCAGAACCCACTCATCTCACGTTTGTTTACCCTACTCAATACTCATTCTATCTTTCCATTTTCTCCTCTCCACATCCACAGATATCCGTGCAGGCCGCGGACGTCAAAAGCGTCCTTCGCGTGTTCTCCATCGAAGTGACTGCTTCTGAGAAGGATCAACTAGACGAGGAGGGTATAATTGTTCGTCTTAGAAAGGTGTGTGTTCACTTTACACTTTACACTATTTATATTATATTATATCTATTATATCAATACAAAGACCGACCTTGAACTGTGCTAACTAATGATATTGATATTACTATACTTGACAGGTGGGAGGCGCGTCGTACGATGGTGTATAGAGCTAGGGAAAAGGGAAATGTCTTTCTTGGGTTGTTACAGATTTGACCGGTTGTCGGTCATACATTCTGTCGTTTCTTGGGCATAAGAGCATAATACTAATTAACAGATATATAAATGAATACACATCACAATAGGAGAAATTATCTAACAAAGTACGAGTAAGATGTGTATGAGTCTACTGCCATCACAGGCAACCATGCAAATAGTAATCTTGGTGATAAGTTCAGAAAAATACTGTCTCGCCCAAATCACAGACTCCAAAATCTTCATCCGGGATGTCTAGCTTCTTGCACTCTTCGGCAAGCTTTCGTGGAGGCTCAGTCACGTCTTCCATCGTTAGCAACCACGTTCTGCAATCTGACGTCAAGACGAGCAAGCGAAAGAAGAGAAAGAGAAATACTTACCCCCAGTGCATACCGAGAGCCTTCTTCGCACGAATATCTTTGAAGATGCGTACACTGTCTTGTGGAGCGCAGTGGAATCTAGACATGAACTCGCGTGGTTCATAGGCACTGACAAGAAAATGATCGTCAGGCAAGTGAGTAAATAAGGCATGAAATAGATGAATTTAAAAAAAAATAAAAATAAAAAAAGAGAGAGAGAGAGAGAGAGAGAGAGAGAAACCGAAACGTACCCAATTGGTATCAACGCCAAGTCAAAACTACCCCACCGTTCCCCAATCTCCTTGAACGCAGGACAAAACGGCACTTCATCTTCATCTTCTCCTTTCTGTACGGTGCGATATCCTGTATCTCCAGCGAAATACACTTTCATTCCCTCTTGTTGCGACTTTGCATCTGATTCGGTACTGATAGACTTAGAGTCTGATTGCGGAAGGACCTCTTGTACGACCCAACTACCCCAAAGAGTCCTAAACCTATCATGTATAGATCGTGCAGACTGATGTTGGCTTGGCGTGCATGTAACGTCGAAAGCTACAGTAGCCGTCGCACTCTTACTCTTATCACCATCTTTGGAGGAGGAAGAAGAACCGACTTCAACTTCTACACGTCTACCTTCCCACCAGTCAAGGCAGTGTATTCTCTCGTTTGATACTCCGAGGGAACGTAGAATCTCGCCGTTCCCGAGTGGTGCTAGGAGGTGTGGAGGGTTAGGACGTTTGGAGAATGCTCGAATGGTATCTGCGTCTAAGCTAAGATTTTATATGTTATCATGGTTTCGGTCGCACTTCAGCGAATGAGTAGACTTACTGGTCATAATGATTATGCTGGAATTCGAAAACATGAAGTGAGCAGATTGTTTTCTTCGTGTATTTATTTGACCCACCGAGATGACTATAGCATCGACTTCAGGGATCTCAGCGATTTCACATGGAAGCTCTACAGAACAATACGTTAACGAACAGAATAGAATACAAGGATTGCTCGTAATTACTCACGTGTATATCGTTTCGGCCCAAACCACTGAACCGGAGAACATCTATCACTGAACACCGGATCAAACAATATTCTTGCGCCACGTGACGGCGCAGGAGACTCAGTGGACTGCCGCACGGGCAATTCAACCAGAAAACATGCATGCCCCAGCCAAGTTGCTTTGATCTTATCCGCGTTATCTGGCCCACCTGAGGACGTCGTCGTCCCCCAAGTGGGTCGGACGCTGGGAATCCGCGTCGTAACGTCGCTAGGTATCTTTGGCATACTGAGGAAAAACTTGTACGAATACTACGTTTAATTTCACCAAGTCAGTAGACATTCACCATCGCAGAAGAAATAGTTTATTTGAACTGACTCCTATGGCATCCATGAATGCCAAGTCACGATAACTCGGCCATGGGTTCTGGAACAAGCTTCCTTTCGCGTCTTTCCAGTGTGCAGGTGTACCAGAAGATTTTTCATTTGAGCTCCCGGGTATTAACGAAACCTTTATAGGGTCCTTTGCAGAAGACATGATTCAAGCCAGACACAATGCAAGCAGAGTGATTTGCAAGTTGGAAGAGGAAATGAGAGACGTTGGGGAAGGAGGAAACTAGCCATGTTATATTCGGATTGAGTCCGTAACGCGCGTGTGATGAGTAAGACACGCGACGAAGCCGCCCAGACGCGTATCCCCTTGCGGACCCGCAGCAACGCAGAAGTACGCGTCAGGCTCTCTCATTCGGCAGCCTCTGATTTTCGAAAGGCATCAGAATAAAACGGGCATTTGTCATCATTGCTGTTCGAGATTGCCAATTTTGGTGTTTCTAAAGTACTTTGAGAAGAGTCATGTGTTTTCTTAAATTTTAAATTTTAATTCTCGTGGCTCAAGGTGGTTTGTCTCACTTCCTTGTCGCATCCTGTAAAATGGGAACTAGTTGTACAATAACATATCGCTGCAATGGTACGTTCTTTCACCAAGTCTACATGATTTTTTGCCACTGAAGATAGGTTAATGGCTGTACAGGAATTAATTTCATACGAAGACGCTGGAGCGACGGATACGCGGAAAGGCCTGGCGCTGGACAAGAACTCGTAGACAGTGTTCCCCCTGACAGCGACGCTTACAAAGGTACAAGTGATAATGTGCAGAGAAGAAATTTTACTAATAGATAATACTGTAAAAGTGTGGCTCGAGAATACCAGGGCTTTCTATAAAAGTGAATGGGAAAGGATTAAGAAGCTGGATGAAGAAAATAAAGATCTCGACGAAAACAAGGGAGATTACGATCCTTATCTTTACAGGCCGAGAAAAGACCTGCCGGAACTATACTGCGATTTCAACTACACTATCGACCTCGATGCCGAACGGTTCTGCGTCTACGATGCTGCGTTTCCTCTTTGGAACATTCCACGAGGCGATAATGGCGAAGACTGGTTACAACACATAGCTATCGTTGGAGTTACAAATAATAAATGTGTCTTGTGGCCTGATACGCCAAGGCAATATCGAGTTGCGATTGAGCCAACACCTGTCTCGGAGGTCGGGCTTGCTGTTTACCAGGCGTTGACGCAGAATGTTGAAATAATTGACGAATCCGCTTGGATGACTTTCAATACCGACCATCCGAGGCTGGCCCTTGCGTCTGCTAATACTCGCGGTCTCATGATGTGCCACAACTGCCAAATTAACTCTGCGGTGCTGACGCGCGAAGGTGGCAAACCATTCCACTCCTATTCTGAGCTTCTGTTACGCGCTGCATCTCCTGGTGGACTTACACTGGCCTTCAGGCCGAGCACGCATAACAATGATGGTAATGAAAAGGGCGATGGAGGAGAGGGTGAGGGTGAGGAGGACGGGGATGACAAGGCGAATCGCAATACCGGAAAGCCATTGTACAGCTTCTATAGGTACCGAGGCTGTATAGTGTTCGTTACGGAAGATTGCTCGACCCCAGGCCATTTACAAGCCAATATTGGCCTTGCCGTCGGACACGCACGTGAAACCGGAACGAATAATTGCACCGTAATCATTTTTTCCATTCGGCATGTCGCTGTAGCAGTTTTAACTGGTGTAATCTCAGGCCCGCTGCAAGTCGCTCACACCCGTGCACAGCCTTTCCTAGAGGGATTTGGTGACGGGGGACTTGAAAAAGGTCTGAATCTTGTCGCTCATTATTTGCGACCCCATTGCGTCGATGGAGGAGTTCTCAGACATGCCTTGGCTGATGGGATCTCGCTAAGCTGCGATTTTCCTATTCTTCATTTAGATGTTCTTCTCCATATAATGGAGTTAGTCGATTCCGATACGCACACCGCGTTCAGCCTGGTATGCAAAGCTCTCCGAAAAGAATGGTTTGAACACCCACGAATCTCTAACTACAGGATAGTCTCCTGCAGAACATTTCAAATGGATACCTGCAAATACCTTCCCAGATTGAAGCTATCCGCTCTGAGAAGAAACGGGGCGCATGCCACTCTGATCATCTTCTATCGAGTGTTCCCCTTCTACGGCAATTGCAATGATGGCAGGCACTGCTGCTTGTGTCCCAATCTGTGCATCGGTAAAAAGTGCATGTATCGTCTATATCTGAAATCACTGCCTGGAAGTATTGGGTTGTATCGAAATGTAGAGGCGCACTACGAGCATAGGGGTACATATAGGGAAGAGGATTACTCTTCAGTGAGAAGAGAGCCTTGGAGGACAAACTATTCCGGTCTCTTTGCTTTGAACGCGAGCAATGTTTGCAAGGTCTGCACGACATACTTTGATAGGCAAGAATCGTAAAACACGAACCTCTACACGGAGACTACACCTGGTTCTCCATACTGTAAAACAATACCGTCGTGTGTAATAACGAACATCTCCGAGTCTCTGTGTTATTCACCTTAGGCACGCTTGAGTCCTTATGTCATACTGACACGTAAAATACAATTATCTGCATAATGTATATTGTATTCGATTTCAAGAATCTTACTGTCGTTTTCATAAATATTGTCACACGCGTGATTCGTGATTTTCGTCACACTAAGTATACTCAAATACAAAATCTATCATAACTCAACTAATACTTAACCAAATTACATGATCTAAGTTGTAAAAATTATACTTTTAAAGTATAATACATATTTAAGTATGCTAAAATTGAGCATTTTCCCCCAACCTCTCTACACTCAGGGAAGGTTCTTCTGAGTATTATTCATGTTTGTAAATTTATTATAAACAAAATATATTAAATATAAGTACTTTTATAAGTTATAGTAAAGTTATATAAGTCAGAGAAGTACTATTAAAGTAGTATATAGAATATATAGTTGCTATAGTCTGGTCCAGGTCTGGTCCAGACAGGTTTTTGCTGGACTGTGAACCAGACCAGGACCAATTTCTTATGAAATCCTGGACCTCAGACTGGACCCAGCTGGACCTCTTGTGGACCGGACCAGCAGTCCAGTCCAGGTCCGAACCCAGTCCGGACCTCTGGACCAATTATATAATATATATTAAAATAATTCTGTCTTATTAACATATTATATAAGATAGATATACTATTAAGTACTATAATAATATGTTTCTGAATATATGTAAGCTTATATGTATCAGAATACAATTACTTTTATTATTTGTATTATACTAAGTGTAAAACACAAGAAGTACTAGTGTAATAGAAATCAGTTCCTACAGTCAATGTAAACTGCTGTTTACATCTGTAAGACACAGTATAGTCTATTTGTATGCTTAAAGGGTATACA